AAAGGTATTCAATGAAGAATAATCATGCTTGCTGAACATAGACATTTAGTTTGTTTTAACTTACTATAATGTTATCCTAATGCATTATTTTTCTCTCTTATGGTGCATGTTTCTGTGGTAGCATCCACTTTTTCAAGGTACATCGCCAAACCTACCTAACTATCTTTCATCAAGATATTTCTTTAATCTTCTTATATATTAATTGGTTTTGCCTGTGTCTATATTGTATTAGTGGATTATATCTTTTTTTTGCACTATTAAACCTCTTACCTTATGCAGTTTGACAGTTTCCTTGCTAATAAGTTTTAGTTTAAACTGTTTTATATTACTTCTGTTGGGATACTGGGCTGCAATTGTTCAAAATTATTGAAATATTTAAAGTGGTTTAGTTTGGCCCGATTATTGGTGCTTAGTTTGGAATTAAATTATGCTAGTTGTATTGAGTTACCTAGTTTCAATAATGCATTCAGGATTATGAAAGCAATGAGAAATTTACAATACCCGATGACCGTGTAAGCCACTTGCTACCTATATCTTACCAAGACATGATAGTTAAGGTGTACTCCAAAAAGGCTGAACTGGTTAGTTATCCTGTGCATGTTTAAACTTCTTTCCTTTACCCATTCAGGTTGGATTCACTAATATATTGCTTTGTGCAATCCTATAGGTGCAGACAATTTCAAAGGCTTTTGAAAATTTTCAATTGAAGACATATGGGATCAAAGCACAGACACATTCAACACCACAAAAGAAGCGACGTTACAATTCAGTTTTATGAAGGGAAATGTATCATTACTATGATACTATTTTTTTTTGTTCACCTTTATTGTGTCTCACCCTTTCTTGGTATATATGCATTTTCTACAATTGAAATATAGTCTTAAGTCCACAGAAAACAATATTGACACCCTCTTAAGGTTGTGCTAGAGTTACCATATAAAAAAAGACAATTATGCATATAGCAGTGTTTAAGTGTAACAGTTTCATTTAGTAGTACTTGGCAATGAGAAATCTTTTCTGTCACTGTTAGTTGGCAGTTTCAATTTGCAAATGTTTCTCAAATCTTAAGTTTATGACAAATTGGTCCACATTTTATGGATGAGAATGCATCTTAACTACTAACTACTAAGCATTCATTATGTAATACAATTGTGTCCAATTGGAGAAAAAAAGTTGTCTAATGAACTTGATATAATTAAAAATGTAAATAAATAAAAATAATTAACTTTGTTATTAATTTAGCGACCGATTTAAATCGGTCGCTATTTTTTTAACTTTGTTATTGATTTAGCGACCGATTTAAATCGGTCGCTATTTTTTTACTTTGTCACCACTTTTGCGACCAATTTGATATATTAATTTCGGTCGTATTTTGCGACCGAAATAAAATCGATCGTTATTTTGCGACCGAAATAAAATCGGTCGCTATTTTGCGACCGAAATGAAAATCGGTCGCTAACACATTAGCGACTTGGCTTTTTGCGATGACGCCTTTCGGTCACTAATTTCGGTCGCTAACTGATTAACGACCGATTTTTTGACATTAGCGATCGATTTTTTCGATCGCTAAAATGAATTTTTCTTGTAGTGATTTTATAATGTATATAAATCTGAGATATAAAAAAATTATGGTATGGTTAGATAATGGATATATTAATTTTTTAAATAACTAATATCATATAGCTGTTATTTTAAAAATATGACATATTTTTAACTTAATAGTATATAATTAACTTATAATATTTACACTTTAATTATATATTATATCTTTAGTCGCTTATGTCCCACACATACAACTCAAACCACGTAAATTGATGAAAAAATGGTTAAAAAAATTATCTAAACATAAATATTCCAGTATTGATTCGACAAATGTGTCCAACGTGGTTATAAAATGGTATAAAATGCCACGTATCATAGCAAGATGCACACTTCACACTTATAATTCAATAGTACGACAAACACCCTCAGCCTCTGGTTTTTTCAACTCCCACGTCGTATTATTAGTCCATGCAACCCAACATCGATTATGATCACAACTCGCACCAAACTTAGGTTTATTAATTGTTGCAGCGGTAATAAATTATTTTTACTAATCACCTATTAAGTATTTTCTTTTTCTATCTTAATGTAGTGAAGCAATATAGCCTTTAAAATATTTTCATACTTTTCCTTACCCAAATTCATTCAGTTATTGACACAAAAAATAATTATACCAAGACCTTTAAATTTCCTTTGATACCATATAGAAACTTTGTCTGCTATGACATGATGAACAATTCTTACCCATCCTTCTGTACTAGAACTATAACTAATACTTAAAAATATTCTTGCTAATATACTCAAGGGTTTTGTTTTATTCAATCAAGTTACAACAATGAGAAATCAAAGGGAATTGTGAATAGAAATAAATAAATAAATAAATACAGAATTTATTTGAGAAAACTGGGGTTATATACACAATTGGTATATGCTGATAACACCCAGTTCTGCAATTAGCCTTCTACAGGGACGACAAATACAAGTAATAAAATACAAACACTCTTATCTATCAAATACATTCAAGGTGGCCATGCATGATTTGTTTAGCATGTTTAGGACCACCGCTTTCACTCTCAAATCATTAGTATTTAGATTCTGACAATGAAAATATAGTATCAATGGGTTGAAATTTTATTGTAGAGTGGACGGGTCTTGCACATGGCCTCCAATGGAATCAACCTGGACAAGGTGATCCAATTATTCTCCCTCATATCAAGCTTTTCCTCACTCACTCGTTTCCAGTCGAAACATTGAATCAACAATCCCAAAGTATAGCTCACGCTTTGCATGGCCATGGGTTCTCCTGGGCAAGCCCTTCTTCCCATCCCAAATGCCACTAATTTTTTCTCCTCTCCTTCCACATCAAACCTCTCAGGTTTAAAGCACGTGGCCTCATCCCACAACTCAGGATCTCTCTGCATGGCCCAACCATTGACGATCACTGCTGTGTCCCGTGGGACATTGAATCCTCCAACACTGATATCTTCTGAAGACACATGTGGTATTAACACTGGAGCTGGGGGATACAACCTAAGTGTCTCAAGGATGATCTTCCTCAGATACGGAAGCTTTGGAAGGTCTGACTCGTTCAACAACCTCTCCTCCCCTACTTCCCTCTTCAATTCCTCTCTTGCCTTCTCCAACACCTCTGGGTGATTCAATAAATTCGACAACGACCACTCTAGAGTTCCCGTTGATGAGTCTGTTCCTCCAAAAAGCATAGCCTGTGGTTGTGGAACCAACGCACATCAAATTAACACGAGAAATTCCAAACAATAATGTTATGTTTAGAATGATGATGATGATGATGATGATGATAGTAAAATGACGAATGAATTACCAAAGCAAGGCCTTTGATGATTTGGTCAGTGTAATACTCAGGCTGGGACTCTTGGAGTTTCAGGAGATGGTCGATCATGGAATTCTCACGGTCATCCTTCTTGCTACGGTTCTCATCAATGATCTTATTCAAGATGGTATCGTACCTCTTACTGATACTCTTCAACCGCTTCTCCACATTTTGAAAATCGAACCACCTTAGGAAGGGCAAGTAATCACCCTTGTTAGCCAAGCCCATGAGTTGCAGCATCTCCGCCACAGTCTCTCTGAACTCCCTGGCCTCCTCCACGTTCTTCATCTCACTCTCTTCCCCGTAAAACCTCTTCCCCGATATCATCCTCATCACGTTGTTGTAGGTCAAGTCGTTGAACATGGAGGTTATCTCCACGCGAGAAAAACCCTCGCGGGAGTTTCTGGCCAACCTGTGAATCAAGCGCCTGGTTTCGTCGCTTCGGATGCCGGAGAAGGAGTGGACGCGCTGGGTGGAGAGAACGTCGAGGGCGGTAATGCGGCGGAGGTTGCGCCAGTGGTCACCATGGGAAGAAGAGCCGACGGTGGTGTTGTTGTAGAAGATGTATTTGCCGGAGAGAGAAGGGAGGCGGTTGGCCAAGGCAAGGTCGTGTTTGGTGAAGCATTCTTGGAATGCAGAGTGTGAGGAGATGACGACGGCGAGACGGGAGCCGAACCACAGGGAAATGATTTTGCCGTACTGCTTGGAGGTTCGTTGGAAGAAGCGGTGGATGGGTTGTTCGAGGAGGTTAAGGTTCCCTATTATGGGCAGAGGAGTGGGTCCCGGTGGGAGGTTCCTGAGTTTTCTGGTTTGGAGAAGGTACTTGAGACTGAACACTAGCAATACCACGGAAACCACAATGTAAGACAACACCAACAACATTGCCATGTTGATTATGTTTTTGATGTAGGAATGAGATGGATTATAAAGAACTACGTTTGCATGTGGAGTTTATTGTTGAATGAAAAATGCTGCATTCTTAGCTCCCTTTTTATAGTATGGATCTATAATCTGAGTGATAAAGCGGTTCTCAAATAATATTTACTCAGCTTTTGTTCAATATAGTCATCCTAACATTAGCAGCCAACCCTCTTATAATATTTACATTATTATAATATAAATTGAACGTTTACCTTTCAATGCATATTAGGAGCTAAGTGTTTTTAGTAAGTAATTGCAACTGTAAAGATTACAAAGTATACTCTGAATATATTTAATATTAAATTTTCTTTTCCTTTTGTTTTCAAATGGCTGCTGAGACATGGGGGTAGTTGGTGCTGAAGCCATAATCTTCAACGCATCAGAGGTATGTTTATGTATAAACTGAAACTGTTTACAGGAAATTTTCAATTAAAAAATCTAACAGAAGTGAAGTAGATGAACTCTAAAGAGTAATTAGAGCGATTTCATGGAAAGCTGAACCCGAAACTCCTGGTCCAATGTTGTTGATGGTATGCGGTCAACAAGGTCTTCTGATAAAAAAATAATGAATTTGTCTGTCATTGTTGAACGGTATAGCCCTAAAAGTGTACCAATATAAATAATTTTGAAGGAAATTAATATTATATATCAATGTTCTAGATTGTCATTCATAGAAAAAAAATAAAAATTAAAGTTCTAGATTGTCATGCTGTGACTCAATCTTGTCGCTATTCTAGATGGAAATGAAGTGGTCGTTTAGTACAGTTATCTTTGACTGTGAAGGGTTTAGTACATAATATGATAATAAATATGATTAACTTATTATGTTAATTAAAATAATAAATACTTGTTTTAATAAACTACTAGCATATTCCTTGATTATATAGAAAATTAGCAAGCTTGTCCTTGACACTACAAGAAATTCAATTCATCAGCAAGGAAATTTTACTATAAAAATTATGTTTCATTAATTCGTAGTTAATTAGGAATGAAATTATAAATTGAAATGTAATTAATTTGTGTAATAAAGTATTAGTCAAAATCATTTTGAAAAGCATCATAACAAATTTCCCTTCAACAAACAAGTAACTAAAAATTAAAGGTTTGATTTATTTTTATTTTTTAAAAATGTGTTTATGATAAGAAATAAAAATATTATAGATTGTTCTAGTTCAGTGAGATTTATATATCAATTATTTAACAACTAATTTAAAAAAAAATGATGACATAATTGTAACTAAGTGAATATTTTTGTAATAAAAATTACGTTGATACACTGAATTTATTTAATTGACATTAGTTTTTGTTCCACCATGCTTTCTGGTAACTTTTCCTCCTCCATCCCTTATCCAAGTTTTCGAGTGACTTAATCAACCTAAAAACCCTAAATCAATAATCCATCACACATGTCACAAGACATATACAAATATTCTAGATTTTTTTTTTAATTCAAGAATTATTAAGACATATAATTATCTGCTCTTGAAAATTCTTAAAAAGGTAACCTTAATTAATGATTTTTATGTTTAAATTTTTTTCAATTAATATTAAACCTATGTTGCACCTATAAGATTATTTAAGTAAATTGAGTCTTCCCTATTAATTTCGTGCATTAAAATGTAACAGGGATCAGGCTTCTCATGGTAACACCCTTGTTACATAGCATGTGGTAATGTTTTTTCGTGACAATCAAGTAATTTTCTTGGAGGTTTTTCTTTTTATGTTCATCTTAATACTGCTTTTTATGTCTAACCTTTTGTTCTTCTACATATTTTTCACAGAATATTTCTAAAGAGGGATAACAATAGATAGGAACATAAGTCAAATTTAATAAATCATATAGTTCGAAAAGGATTAATACCAAACCAATCTTATGATAAGTTAAAATTTTAATAAAAAAATCTTAAAATAATAAATTTATGAGTATATTTTATCAATATATATTACTCCACTTTCTTATTTTTATTATAGAAGATTTCAATTTTAATGAAAAATAAAGACATATAATACTGACATCAATTATATAATAGACTCCTAAATACTTCAATCCAATGAAAAAAAACATTCAAAATTTCTTCCTTTTCTTCACAAATGGCTGCGAAAGTAGGTGGTTGGTAGGGTGAAGGCATACTCTTCTATTCATTAATATATGACCTTGAATGCATGCAAAAGGTATATCGAACTGGTCAAAACCTTTGCTTAGGTCACTGTGGAATGGAACAGCCACCTCAACTCATGTTCCAATAATTTCAATCTTCTGGCTATTTTCGTTGCAAATGAAGAAGCCACTTTCTCTACAGTTTTCTTTGACTCTGCAGAATTCAATCTTCTGCCTATTTTAAACTCGATCACATCATACTACAATCCAATATCGTAATATTCATTTTAATAAATATATTTTAATAACTTATCACGTATAACAATTATATTAATTAATTAAGAAAAAGATGTGATAGGTCTTTCATTCAGTTTTTTATTTTGACGTTATGTGTATTTTTATAAACGCTAGAAGGTAACTTCAACGAAAAAGACGAAACGTAATGAAGACCTTCAAATAGTGTTTTGCCATTTAAACATGAATTGTAATATCAATTGCATGTTATTTTAATTTGTTCCCATGACAATAGCGTAAAACTTGATCGTAACCAGCATTAATTGACACGAATAAAGAATTTTATTGATGCCATTTTTAGTCTAAGTTTCCATTAAACATAGAAAAAAAAAAATAGCCGTCTAAATTGAACATTTAAAAAACTCAGCCAAGTAGATTCAAACTAGTAAAATTGTTTACAATATATCTAAACTTAGTCATAGAGTGTGATTTGAATCTTTCCAGAAAAATCTTAATCATGAAAAAAAGAATAATATATATATGCATGGAAATTTAAACCCACACTACATATTTATATATAACGTTTGAGAAATCTTTACATATATAACCTTAAATTCAAATTAATTTTTAAATTTATCATAGAAAAGCATCTAATTAACATCATGTGAAAAATAATAAAAGACTAGTGACATTTTGTCAAGTAAAAGGAAGAAGTAATATTTTTTTTTTTCTTGAATGAAAGATGACAAGTTTGTCTTGCATGAGGAAGAACACACATGGTTGACTTTGGTAACCTCCATAGACAATAAAGGTTTGGATTGGGTAGGTGGTGAATTACTGTACGAGGTAGCTAGGGTTTATGGTGCCACTAAATGAAAATATTTATGTCATATTTCCGATATAAAACATTTAAACGAAAGAATAAAAATTCAAAATACAAAAAAAAAAAAAATATATATATATATATATATATATATATATATATATATTAACTTACAATTGTCAACATATTCCAACAAATTAGGATGAGCTTCTATTAATATAAAAAAAATTAAATTAACGAATTAAGAAAATCTTTACAAAATATTGTGTCTATGATCCATAAATATGATTTGTAATACGTACAAACATTTACATGTAATATTACTTTTTAATATGAAGTATGTTTTTTTATCACGTTTAAGAATATAATCTTTTAATTTAAATTGAAAAAAAATGGACAAAATTTTATTTCAACAATCGAGTACACTAAATAAAAAAGTTGAGATCAAATACATCACTATGCACTAATGAAATTTCATCAAATTTAAAATACTACTTAAATTCTACATATTGATCAAATATAAAAACATAATCTTTCTTTAAATAAATAAAAATTTTATCTTGTAAATATTTTTGTGAAACTAAGTTAAAGTTAAAATAATTTCTTTAAGATGTTGTTATGAATTAGTCTCACTTTCAATGACATGGCCTTGAAAAACGATTATGTTCCTCATCAACCACGAGCATCATATCAAGAAACAACCTTTTTGCTTAACTTTCATGGTGAGATGACATAGAGAAGGCCATTCGATCATATTATAAGATCAAGGGCATGAGAAAAAAAAGTGACCAATGTCTTCTTCATTTTGAAAGCAAAAAATAAAAAATAAAAAATAGCATTATGCATGAGAATCCCTAGTTGGTAAGGGTTTTGTGTGATTCATTTGGTGTGTGCAAGAAATTGGTAGAAACCTATTAATTTAATTGTTTGAGTAATTATAGTTGATTTTCCATTCACTCGAAGAATATATAAAACTTGATTTTAAAACCCTAATGCAACTATTGCCATGCCAATGAACAGTTCAAAAACATACCTTCTCACCATTTCCAACTTAATTACGAGAAACCATCAAAAATCCATTCAAAGAAAGGACTCTCGATTCCAATGACATTTTTTCTCCTAGCCACCAAATATATATAGAAGCCATGGATGAGTGAGGAATTAATAATATAAATTTCTTAAATTATCATGCTGCTAATATAAAATTACAATAATTATATCAACAAAATTATTTTTATTGAAGAAAAAAGAAAATACATGCATACTTATACAAGTAACCAAAAAGTCTTAGCAAATTAACATTTTTCTTTAGTTATACAAGTAAAACGAAAACAACGTTTGGAGAAAACAATCCGAAGCAGCGTCAGCAAGTGAGTATTTTCTTAACGTACAACATTAATTTTCTTATTAATAATAATAATTCTGCTATTTTTAACGTGTAACCCAAATTTTTTAGCAAATAAATTCATTTTTTTTATTAGTAGGAGTTATGTGTAGTAGAAGAAACTAATCTCTCATCTTACAAACCTAAAATTCAAATTGCTTTACTTGTATATAAATCATTGCGAAAGTTATATATATATCGGTAAATTTTATAAGTATATAAACTCTCTCTCACTCCCTCCTTCTTCAGAATTGGATTTTTATATAAAGAATTTATATTTTTGCAATTTTTTTTCTAAAGTTATGAGAAAAAAATATTATTTATGTTGAGTTTATTAATCTAACTTTTACGGTTTTTAAGGTGTTGATAGAAAAAGGAGGAGATCGTGATGTGTGAAGAAAGGTCGTAAAGCTTATTAAAAAGTAACATTTTTTCTCTCTTTCTTTTGTATGTTATAAAATGAATGAGACAAAAAGTAAAGAGATATAATTATGAGTAAATTTTTTAATATTATTTTTTGTTTTTTAATTTTTATAATAAAATAATAAATAAATTTATTTAAAATTAATAAAATATTTTAATCAATTTTTTTTTATATTTGCACTTATTTTTATTTGCTTTAATTTTTTCTATTCATTTAAAAATAAAAATAAATATTTTATTATAAACTTTACAATGAATTATATAAGTAATTTTTTTAATTTTAAAAAATTTCTTTAATTTTATATAATTTAAATATAAAACTCATAATAAAATATTTATTTTAATTTTTATTATTAGTAAATTTTGTAACAAATATTTTAAAGAATTTTACCTTTTATTTTTATTTTTATTTCTTTTACTTGTCAAAGTTTCTCTTTAATCCAAACACAAGATAAAAAAATATTTAAATAAATTAAAAAAAGAAGTCAAGGTTATAAATACATATTCTACCATGTGAGTGAACCCTACACAGTCAAAGATTTATTTTAGACTCTCCATAGTCAAAATAATATACAGAATCAAAAGAGTGGGTACTCAATTTCCAATCTTTTTATCTCTCTAATATTATTACAAAATTTTATATTTTATGTGAAATTTTTTATTGATTTTCAATTAAAAATTTTTTGGAGAAAATGTATTCAAAATATAAAAAATTGCAATATAAAAATAAGAAGAGAAATTAGGTTAGACTATGGGAATACTTGGAAAATTCCCGTACACATGCCTTGACAGAGGCTATCCGATCGAATTCACGCTGACATTAATTAATCTTCGTTGACCAGTCGCATGTCAAAAACTTCTGCTTAAACTTTTTTGTCTTCACAAAACTTTACTCACGTTTTTCTCAATTTCCAAAATAAAAATATTGAAATTAACGCCACATTGTTAGTTTTCTGTTGTTAAATAATATTATTTTTTAAATTAAGTCCAAGAAGAATAAAGATTGTGATTTTAATTAAAATACTTATTATTTTTTAAAAATTTATAAATTATTCTAATATTTGATCGAAATATTTAAGGACTCAAATTCAAAATTTGATCAAAATATTTGAATTATTATTTGCATTTACATAAAAATATATTATAATGTAGAAATATTATTTGTTTTGGTTTTATATAGAAGCATGCGAGACAGCGCAGCAAAACTTGAATATTTTTTAAATCAGTCAAAATTGAGGTCGAAGAATAATTTATAAGAGTATCAATTGATCAAGATGATTTTAATGGAATAATATGTTAAAATTTCATTTAAAGTTGTTATTTCGAAAATTATGTTTATACAAATTTATTTGATGAAGACAACTATTTGATATTCTGTTGATTAATGAAAATTGATAAGGTACATGCTTTGTATACAATATAAAAATACCCTAATACAAAAGTTACTTTTTATATATTATAATTATTTAATTTTAATAAAATTAAAATTATTATAATTTAATACTGATAGATAAATTTATTGGTTCTTTTTAATTCTTAGCAAGTTATTATATAAAATTATTAATTAAATAATTATATAGATAGATAGATATTTACATATGTAGGAATAATGAATGTGTGGACTAGTTTGATGTGTCCTTATACCAACTAATTTGATGATTGATTGTGTTGTGCATTGAATAGTCTATAATTGTAGGAGTTACTGTACTTGTGACCTTCAATTTATATATATCTTGGATAGTGATAGCATTAACTGTTTTAGTTATTTGTTGAATTTTGTTGTAAATATAAATTACATTTCATTTTTAAATCAATTATGTTGATTCACTAAAACACGTCGTTTTGGGAGGGAACTGAAATAGAAGATACAATAATTTATGTGATATAAAAAAATGAAGCTGCAGTTTTGTAAAATAAATAAATAAAAATTGAAGGTAGAGAGAATCAATAGGATATATCAGTGGTTGAGGTACGAAAATATATGTTATAGATTAAATATTTGATGGACAATGATTCATTACTTGTAATTATTATTATTGTTTTCCGCATTACTCTTGTTTTGTGTCACTAGTTTTTCATGGTGCAACCACCACACATGATGAGTCCAAGCTCGTACACATTGTTACGGATACATACGAAAATAAATATCTTAACAACTTCATATAATTTAATTGTATATTTAATAATTTTTATTTTTCTCACCATAAAAATTTCGTTTTACTAGAGATAATATATTTTTTATTTTTATAAAAGAAAAAATGTGAATATATATATATATATAGGTGAATCATGTTAAATAAAAAATTTCAATATTAATTGTAATTTTTATCAAATAATAAATAAATACTTATGTACACCCAATTTTTATAAATATTTTATTAAAATCTATTTTTTCAGAGCCTTCCTCTATTTCGCCCATCTAGGGTTTTGAGAGCCTTTTTCATCAAACATGTGAAATAGTGACATGTTTGAAATGGAGGAGGGGTGGTAGGTGACGACCACCAGGCTCTACCACGATCAACCTCAGCTACCTCCTATTTCTGCTTACAAAGATTGCAAAAAGATTTTTCAAAATCACGTAATTGATAGACCAAAAGTCTATGTCCTATATCAGAATTCAACAAAAAGAACAATATTATAAGAATATATGCTACTAAATTCCATGATGACCAAGACAAAGTTTTGGTAAAATATTGTGCTGAAACAACGTCCACATTCATATTTTTGCCAATTGAAAACTCCCCGTATGTTATGACTGGGCATTATATAATGGCTACTTCCCATGCTGCATATTGCATCACTGTAAGCAACTACTGATATACCCAGTAACACGCTCTCTGGTGCAAAAACCAGAAACCATGTCTCCCTTCTTATCTTACTCCCTCATTGCCCTCGTCTTCCTCATCACTCTCAAGTTCCTTTTCCAAAGCAGAAAATTCAGAAACCTTCCACCCGGTCCCACTCCTCTTCCCATAATTGGCAACCTTAACCTCATCGAACAACCAATCCACCGCTTCTTTCAACGCATGTCCCAAAAATATGGCAAAATCATTTCCTTCTGGTTCGGGTCTCGTCTCGTGGTTGTGATTTCATCACCCTCAGCGTACCAAGAGTGTTTCACCAAACACGACGTTGCCTTGGCCAACCGCCCCCGCTCCCTCTCCGGGAAGTACATCTTCTACGACAACACCACCGTAGGCTCGTGCTCCCACGGCGAGCACTGGCGCAACCTCCGCCGCATCACCTCCCTCGACGTTCTCTCCACCCAGCGCGTCCACTCCTTCTCTGGAATCCGGAGCGACGAAACCAAGCGCTTGATTCACAGGTTGGCCAGGAACGCGAGTGCGGATTATGCACACGTGGAGATAACTTCCATGTTCAGCGACTTGACGTACAACAACATCATGAGAATGATATCGGGGAAGAGGTTCTACGGGGAGGAGATTGACATGAAGAACGTGGAGGAAGCAAGGGAGTTCAGAGACACGGTGAATGAGATGCTCCAACTCATGGGGTTGTCTAACAAGGGAGATTACTTACCTTTCTTAAGGTGGTTCGATTTTCAGAACGTCGAGAAGCGGTTGAAGAATATTAGCAAGAGATATGACACCATCTTGAACAAGATCATGGATGAGAACCGTAACAGCAAGGATCGTGAGAATTCCATGATTGATCATCTCCTCAAACTGCAAGAGACTCAACCCGAGTATTACAATGACCAAATCATCAAAGGCCTTGCTTTGGTAATGAATTTATTAGATACACACACACACACACACACACACACACACACACATATATATATATATATATATATATATATATATATATTGTTTACTGCTTGCGTTGTGTCTAAACCTGAAAAGAGAAAGAGATGTCTTATGCTGCACCAATATGTAAACTAGTGTTTCTCACTTCATATGATGAACTTTTTCCATTTTAGGCTATGCTTTTTGGCGGAACAGACTCATCAACTGGAACTTTAGAGTGGGCTTTATCTAACTTACTGAATAACCCAGAGGTGTTGAAGAAGGCAAGAGAAGAATTGGACGCTCAAGTAGGACAAGATCGGTTGTTAAATGAGTCAGACCTTCCAAAACTTCCGTATCTGAGGAAGATCATCCTTGAGACACTTCGGTTGTATCCCCCGGCTCCAATTCTAATTCCACACGTGTCTTCAGAAGACATCACCATCGAAGGATTCAATGTCCCAAAGAACACAATGGTGATCATTAATGGTTGGGCCATGCAAAGAGACCCTCAATATTGGAAGGATGCAACAAGCTTTAAACCTGAGAGGTTTGATGAAGAAGGAGAGGAGAAAAAGCTGGTGGCGTTTGGAATGGGAAGAAGGGCTTGCCCAGGAGAACCCATGGCTATGCAAAGTGTGAGCTATACTATAGGATTGTTGATTCAATGCTTTGACTGGAAACGAGTAAGTGAGAAAAAGCTTGATATGACAGAGAACAATTGGATTACATTATCAAGGATCATTCCACTTGAGGCTATGTGTAAAGCCCGTCCTCTCGCCAACAAAATTGGAAGCGTTTAATGATATTTTATTTGGTTTGAGTTAATGATGAGGATCTGATGCTTATAATTTCAGTGTTCAAGTGGTGATGATTACATCTTAAAGCTAATAAAGTTTGTAGTATGTCTTCATTGTACAACTGGGTGTGCATAAGATATATACAGTATCAATAATATTGTATACTACCCCAGTTTTCCTGAATAAATTTCTTTCCTTTTCTTTCAATATGATTCCAAAAAAGAGATTTTCCCTTTGCTTTCTCTTGTAGCTTTGATGAACCCCTTATGTATATAATATATTATTTATTATTTAAATAAATAAATAATTACTTAATATTTGTATTAATTCATTAATTGATAAGTAAATAAATAAATAAATATATTGATATATAATATATTTTTAATAAAAACTAATAAATTAATATTTGTTATATAAATGATATATAAATTAAAATTTACTACTCAAATAATTAAATAAATAATAAATTAATATTTATTTAAATTTAATTAATGAAATAAATAATTCTAATATCTATCAATTAAATAAATTACATATTAATATTTATTAATAAAATAATTGATATAATTATATTTATTAATAAAATAATAAATCTATTATGATTTGATTAAAATATATTAATTTATTCAAATTGAGATTATCAACGGATTTTTTTCCGTCAGTAATATGTTTCATTCACAGCTTAATTATTTATAAAAAATTTCTCTTGATATTATAAATTTATCGACTGAATAATATTCGTCCAAAAAAATTTCATCGCTAATTAACAATTTTATTTATTTGATATAAATACAAAAAAGAAAAGAGTTCTTGAGTTGCTTACACCCACACAAACCCATCTTGAAGATAAACCCAACAAATTTTGTTTTTTAACTGAGATTGTGCATCCAACAAACTCAACAAGCACAATAGAAGAATTGACCTCGTAAACAGACAACTAGTTGTTGAAAAAAATGACAAAAATGCTTAGATTCAACAAATAAGTTAAAAATATAACTTTGTTCAACTCGCCTAAAACAAAAATAATATGTGTTACGTGTAGACTCACTCTTACCTTCTATTTTAGGCGTTATATTTTTATTATTTGAGTAAATTGCAAAATTTCTTTTAGGGTTAAATTGTTAAATTAAATTATCCTTTTGTCTTCTGGGATGTGTCTGTTTATATATTTTTTGTAAGAGATTAAGTAAACTATGCCTCATTGATATTTAAATGAATTATTTTCGGTATCAGAGAAAAATAAGAAAGAATAAGTTTATTGATCCATCACTTGTGTAGTTTTCAATTATAATCGATTGCGACATATCGAGCATGGTCGACTACCAGCATCTTCTTCTACCCATGACACTGAACCCTCCATCATAGTCAAATATAACTGTACAAAATTAAGAGTGTTTAATCTCACCCATTTCCACATAAACTAACAGCATGACAATCTGGAATGATGTCTGGTCTTCCCTTTGAATATTGCTATTCGAACATTTTGACCAACTTCATCATCAATATTTATATACCACTTATTTTGTGCAGACTGGAGTTAAACACTTTTTTGTTTGAAAAACTATCTTCAATTATTTCAATACTTTTAAAAGATAATCAAACTAAAGAAAATATTAACAGATATATCAATTTCTAATTATCAGGTATCCTTCTTTACTTAATAAAAAAATCTAAATTTTACACTCTTTTTTTTTTTTTGCTTATATTAACTAAAATATATTGATAAAATTAAACTATTTTTCGTCAACGTTTACTAGAGTTAAACTAAAAAAAATATTTTGAGAAGATTTGTCGAAGTATAAAAATGTTAGTCGTCGTCTGCAACAGTTGGCTAAGTGAAGGTAGGGTAAAATAATGAATAGAAAACGAATACTATAGCAGCCAATGGCTGCTACTAGCATGAAATGACCACAACGAAAACTATAGTTAAATATTGTACTAAAAGGTCGTTTGACGCCATGTTATGACGCACTGCTATATAAAGACGGTTTCGCATGCCACATTTTTCATTCATCACTCAACTGCACATGCACACGTAGTTCTTTATAATCCATCTCATTCCTACATCAAAAACATAATCAACATGGCAATGTTGTCGGTGTTGTCTTACATTGTGGTTTCCGTGGTATTGCTAGTGTTCAGTCTCAAGTACCTTCTCCAAACCAGAAAACTCAGGAACCTCCCACCGGGACCCACTCCTCTGCCCATAATAGGGAACCTTAACCTCCTCGAACAACCCATCCACCGCTTCTTCCAACGAACCTCCAAGCAGTACGGCAAAATCATTTCCCTGTGGTTCGGCTCCCGTCTCGCCGTCGTCATCTCCTCACACTCTGCATTCCAAGAATGCTTCACCAAACACGACCTTGCCTTGGCCAACCGCCTCCCTTCTCTCTCCGGCAAATACATCTTCTACAACAACACCACCGTCGGCTCCTCTTCCCATGGTGACCACTGGCGCAACCTCCGCCGCATTACCGCCCTCGACGTTCTCTCCACCCAGCGCGTCCACTCCTTCTCCGGCATCCGAAGCGACGAAACCAGGCGCTTGATTCACAGGTTGGCCAGAAACTCCCGCGAGGGTTTTTCTCCCGTGGAGATAACCTCCATGTTCAACGACTTGACCTACAATAACGTGATGAGGATGATATCGGGGAAGAGGTTTTACGGGGAAGAAAGTGAGATGAAGAACGTGGAGGAGGCCAGGGAGTTCAGAGAGACTGTGGCGGAGATGCTGCAACTCATGGGCTTGGCTAACAAGGGTGATTACTTGCCCTTCCTAAGGTGGTTCGATTTTCAAAATGTGGAGAAGCGGTTGAAGAGTATCAGTAAGAGGTACGATACCATCCTGAATAAGATCATTGATGAGAACCGTAGCAAGAAGGATGACCGTGAGAATTCCATGATCGACCATCTCCTGAAACTCCAAGAGTCCCAGCCTGAGTATTACACTGACCAAATCATCAAAGGCCTTGCTTTGGTAATTCATTCATCATTTTACTATCATCATCCTAAACATAACATTATTGTTTGGAATTTCTCGTGTTAATTTGATGTGCGTTGGTTCCACAACCACAGGCTATGCTTTTTGGAGGAACAGACTCATCAACGGGAACTCTAGAGTGGTCGTTGTCGAATTTATTGAATCACCCAGAGGTGTTGGAGAAGGCAAGAGAGGAATTGAAGAGGGAAGTAGGGGAGGAGAGGTTGTTGAACGAGTCAGACCTTCCAAAGCTTCCGTATGAGGAAGATCATCCTTGAGACACTTAGGTTGTATCCCCCAGCTCCAGTGTTAATACCACATGTGTCTTCAGAAGATATCAGTGTTGGAGGATTCACTGTCCCACGGGACACAGCAGTGATCGTCAATGGTTGGGCCATGCAGAGAGATCCTGAGTTGTGGGATGAGGCCACGTGCTTTAAACCTGAGAGGTTTGATGTGGAAGGAGAGGAGAAAAAATTAGTGGCATTCGGGATGGGAAGAAGGGCTTGCCCAGGAGAACCCATGGCCATGCAAAGCGTGAGCTATACTTTGGGATTGTTGATTCAATGTTTCGACTGGAAACGAGTGAGTGAGGAAAAGCTTGATATGAGGGAGAATAACTGGATCACCTTGTCCAGGTTGATTCCATTGGAGGCCATGTGCAAGACCCGTCCACTCTACAATAAAATTACAACCCATTAAATACTCTCTTTTCATTTCATCACAAACTTTCGTTAGAATCTTAATACTTATGATTTCAGTCTGCAAGTGGTTTTATGTATGTCTACGAGTCCAAATGTAGAACTGGTGTGCGTTAGCATATATCAATAAAATTTATATTGATTCACATTGCTTAAGAAAATAACCTTTTTTTCCTTTCTTTTCTTATCTTATATGAAGTTTTCCAGTACTGCAGTTATTCATTTCAACAAATGATGATTCGAATTAGTAACAGTTCCGACTAATAATTTCTTGAAACCGAGATTATGAATCCTTAATGAATTGCTTCACGTTACCACAATTATGCTCTTGCATCGTCATTTTAATTGTTAATGGAAGTTCACGTAACAATACAACACCCACACACTACACAAATACATGAGAGCAAACAATTTCGAAAATCTTCATCTCAAATCAATGCTAGTCACATATTATGCAAGAACACACATTGAATAACAGTTAAGTCGATACCTCAAGCTCGAATAACAGTGAATTCGACCTCAAACTTACTAGGAGGAATTGCTATAATAGCACTATTGTCATAATGACCCTTATATTATCTCTAAAAGAGTAAATATACATAATTCAAGAAATACTAAAATATTATCCTTTGCTGCGTATCATACACCACTTAAAAAAAAAATTATTTTTGCATTGAAATTTTGTGATGGGAATACATCTGTTACATTTTCACCTGGATTTTGTGACGAACTTTCTGAGGGAAACGTACCATCTCTAGTCTTGTCATCGCATAATTTATTAAATATGTATTAAAGACAAACATTTCATGTTTACGATTTAGGACTATGAACAAAAGTTTAAACACTTTAAGAGGTGAGAGGAGAATGCGCGCTTGCTAAAAGATTATTTGTTGATATTCACAGGACATTGCACAAAATGCTTCTAATTAAAAATCATTCTTTATCCATCTCATAAAATAGAAACATAAAATACAAATATCTTTGTGGATATATCCATCTCATAAAATACAAATATCTTTGTGGATAATTATATGTAAGTCAACTATCAAAGTAAAAAGAAGATGATTAATTAATTAAGTAGAATATGTTTGAATCTTATATCCCATCCATGCAACGGATTACAATATAAGAAAATACGTACACTTAGAATAATAAGAAAATAGGTACACTTACAATAATAGGTTCCGTCATAAAACCAATTGATAATATGTAGAATAGTCTAAGTTCCTTCTAACGAAGTCTGTCGAACTAGGTAAAGGGTATTTTTGACCCACAATGAAAAAATAATTCTTGGAACTCCCTCCAACGAAGCCTGTCAGACTAGGTAAAGGATATTTTTGACCCACAACGAAAAAGTAACTCTTGACCCAAGACAATAATTGGGGTAAAAGGTATTTTTAACCCACAACAAAAAGGTAACTCTTGACCCAAGACAATAATTGAAAAGATGTTAGGTTTTAATTCTGATACCATGTTAAGGTTACAACATATAATCAATTGGTAACTGTTAGTAGGAAATCGAGAAAAACAATCGAAAAATGAAAGGAAAATCGAGAAACATGTGATTGATCGGTAAAGCAAAGAGGTGGATGGGAGACCATTCGATGTCCAATTAGAAGGGCGTGGCACACAAAATCGAAAGTTAGAGTCAGAATCGAAGGAATAATAGTCAAAAGTTTATTGTAGAACAAATCAAGAAATTAGAAGTATATGATGCTAAGGTTAAAAGGAATCAAAAGTAATTCGAAGTTCTCGATGAAATCGAAATTGAGGGGAAGGTTAACCTACATGGATATTGAAACCCTGGCCAAATTGTGAAAAGGAGAACAGTCAAGCGCACATATGGGAAGCAGTTTCTATACCATGGTAGAAGTCGAAGATCGTGGGAACGTGGGTACAGTATTGAAACCACAGAAGATAAACTGCAACATGCACGTAGAACGTGGTAGCAGTTTTGGTAACTGCTCCTGGAAGGCTTGAATGATGACCTATAAATAGAGCAAAGGAGGAAGGGATAAAGAGCAGGAAATTGGCAGAGAACAGAATCATTAGTGAGAAGTCTACCGGAGAAACAACGAACATCATGAAGCTTCTGACAATCTGGATTTCCATGTTCATTGAGTACATTTACCGCTTTTTGTATTATCCTTGGTAATTTACTTTGATGCAATTTATTTTCAGCAATTTTATGTTTTTGTTCTTCCGATTCCTTGTCATTTCAATTCAATGAAAGTTAAGTTTCCGCGTTTAAGTTTCCTTGTCCTTTAACATTGATGCAATTTCGATTTTCAAGTTATTTATACTTTCTGCACATTTGATTTACTGTCATTTATATTTCCTGTTATTTACATTTCTGCTGTTTCGATTCCTTGTCTTTTATATTTAAAGCAAATTTAAGATCTCCTCATGTTACGCTTCTTTGTAATCTAATATTCAGCACTGCTTTTCGATTCCATAGAATTCCTGTTTTCTTTACTTCGAGCACTTTAGATATAAAACACCAAAAATAGTATCTTTGAAATCGGGTAAAATCCGATCCTCATACGCATCTCGATTGAAAACCAAGTTGCTAGCCTAGTAAAAAGAACTTACGTGGTAGAATTTTGATTAGGGTCAAAATATCTTAAGAGTCGAAATCGATCGAAATTCCACCAGAAACAAATTGGCGCGCCAGGTAGGGAGACTTTGTGTTGAAAATACACAAAATTGGTTAGTTCGAAAGTGTATGAGATTAAGGAGTGGGAGAGTTATAAATATGAGTCAAAATTCATCAAATAACCAAAGTAACAGTGAGGGTCTGAATGGTACACATTCACCAAATACTGGGGGGCAAAGTCTTAATGGGAATATGCCTGTAACATCGACAACTACGAGTACGTCGATACCTATGGGTAACGAACAAAATTCAGGTACCTTAGCAAACACCCAAGTAGGATCTAATGCGGTGGTACCAAATAATATGCAAACTATAGGAAACCCCACAACAACATATGTAGGGACATATATGAGTGTAAGACCACCTGGGTTTTCGCTTAATAATATGAGCGGGGCTGGAACTTCTTCAGCACAACGGAATCCGAGATATAACTTAGGAATACCTCAAACACTGGGCATGCCCCAAAATTTTGGAGTCTCTCCGAATTTAGGGACATCTCAAAACTTAGCAATCCCCCAAACTTCAGGAAGTGGACAGAATTCAGGCACACAACAAACGCTTCCAAATTTAGATCATAGAGGAAATCTAGATCATAGAGGAAATTCGGAACATGGAAGATTTACGTTCGATCGAGATTATCATCGATCCAACTTTGAGACTATCGAAAACACTGGTACTGGGATATCTAGTAACTCATTAGGGATACTTAGACAACAAATGGATGAAAGTAATTTTAAGATGGTGAATATGTTGTCACAACAGTTGACCACAATCCTAAATCCATTGGTTCAAAACACTACTGCTAGTTTTGAGATATTAGCAGACCAAATGTCACGAATCGGGGATGCATTGGTTGTACCTCGACGAACAAGGGTAGAAAATCATGCTAACCAGAATGCTAATATCAATCCCCCGTATCTATTAAGGAGAAATCGAAACAACGATCAACATCAGCATACGGGGAATGAATACCAACATATGAGAAATGATATTTGTGGGAATCTGAATGAAGGATTTCAAAATATGTACAATCAGAATAACATGCAGTATAATCACATGTTAGGACAAAGGATAAATTTCCAAGGGATAGAGTTTAGACCACCCAATCAAACATACTTTGTGTCTCCCTTTCCAAATGTGATTCTCGAGACGGAATTACCTCGAGGATACAAAGTGCCTAAATTCACCAAATTCGCTGGAGAAGTTGGTGAATCAACTATCGAGCATGTAGCCCGATATCAGATCGAATGTGGGGACCTAGCGATGAGCGAGGAATTAAAAATGAAATATTTCCCTAGCTCTTTGACTAAGAATGCGTTTACTTGGTTTACTTCGTTGCCACCCAATTCGATATATAATTGGCTGCAACTGGAAAGAAATTTTCATGAGCAATTCTTTAGAGGAGAAACTCAAGTAAGTCTCATCGATTTGATGAATATAAAAAGATACAATCATGAATGCATAGATGATTATTTAAATCGATTTAGACTAATGAAGTCGAGATGTTTCACTCAAATTCCTGAATACGAATTAGTTAGAATGGTCTCTGCAGGCTTAGAATTCTCGATTAGGAAAAAGTTAGTCAATTTACCATTGAATGACATGGCTCAATTAGCTGATAAAGTAAGAAGAGTAGAACAAATTGAGTACGAAAAATAAAGGTATAAGAAGTATGAGAAACCCATGAAAAAAGAAAGAGTAGCATATATAAATGATGTATATGAGACAAATTTCATGACAGAAAATGATATTGAAGAAGCTGTCGACGAGAAAGTAAATATAGCAGAGCTCAAAGTAGGGGCTCCATATATCTGTAAATTGCTACAAAAGAATGAAGTAAAAGATAAAATGGCAAATCGAACATATACTTTCGATGTGACAAAGGCAGATAAAATATTTGATATTTTATTAAAAGACAAACAAATTAAGCTGAGTAATGATCATAAACTGCCCTCTGCAGAACAAAGGAATGGTCGAAAATATTGCAAATTTCATAATGTTTATGGACATTGGACTAACAATTGTATACATTTCAGGAATATGATCCAAGACGCGATCGACCAAGGAAGACTGAAATTTGAAGAGATGTCCATGAAAGTGGACACGAGTCCATTCGAAGTTCAAGTAGGGTATATTGAATCCCAAACGGGCATGACTGAAGATGTCCGAGTGACGAATTTTGCTTTTATAGGCATGGTCGATGTTACTGAAGACATTGATCCCAAGCATGTCAGAATGGATGTATGTGAAGAAGATATGGAATTCGATTTGAGTGAATTCGAAAAAGAATTCGAGAGGGAGATTTATCCTCGATCAGGAGATTCTCTCATCGAGTTTTTAAACAG